GGAAGTGGATCAGAAGCACTTCCAGGTCTGCTGGGGAGCGCGCACGGGGCCCCTCTGGCTTGGCAACTGGTGCCCTCTGGGTCTAGGGGGCACCCAGGGTTCCCCCATGGCTGATCACCAAGCCGGGGGTAGGGCACGGGGAGGCCCCCCAGTGCGCTTGGCGGCAGACCCAGAAATGGACAAGAAGTACTTCTGGTCCACTTCCAGGTTGGCCGCTGAGCATGCGGCAGGGTCCCCCCATGCTCCTATGTGACTCTCCACTCACCCCAGTATCGCAGTGTTCACAAGCCGTGCCTGGTACCTTGAGGTATGTAGAAAACGCATTTAAAGCTGTGTCTATGGCCGAATCCCTGATTCTCTGAATCGATATCAAATCTTCAGATTTGGATTCAGCCGAATTGAATCTGGGACAGTGATCCAAATCAATGAATCGAATCACTGTCCCTGATTCGGGCCGAATCCGAATCTGGCCCATTTCGCACACCCCTATTAGGTAAGGCTAAGAACTTGATACTAATTTTAAAAAATACGTCATGCAAAAAGTGAACAAAGCTGAGTGGCAGCAACTGGACCACAAGCAGCATCAACATATTTCCCCTTAGGCCCTGCAACTCTTCTCTTTCAGCCCATTAAAATGGCCTTTGGAAACTTACCTCCAATCTCCTCGGAATAGCAGCATCTTCATGCTTCTTTAGCTCTTCAAAGGTGCGAAGCTCCAGGTGAGCCTGTTCAATTTGGTCCCACAAATCATTTAACTGTTTGATAAGACCCATTGCCCGAGACTGGTAACCACCAAGCAAAATCTTCAGCTTCTTTTCCATTTTGGCAGCCCTCTTTGCTTCTGTCGTCATGTGACCTCTATTTATCTGGAGAAAGGAAATCAGTGGGTGTATTATTCTTGCTGAACTGTGTTTAATATTTTAAATTTGTGTAGTGTTATGCCATAACCTGAAAGATCAGAGGTTACTGGATTAAAACCCCAAAGCAAGTTTCCCCACTTAGAAACACAAGCATCACTGGGCTCCATTAATCAGCAATTGTCCAAGCCCCTGTGCTGAATGGGCAACCAAACCAATGCAGGCAAATCACGGCTGGGTACCAATCCCAATTGCATGACTGGGAGGGAAATCTTCATGCCTATTAAGAGAAAATGGAATATAAGTAGGGACCTACTGACCTTGTGATTTTTGCAGAAATCTCCATAAAAAAGCCTGGTCCCCGCAAAAAAAAAAAGTTTAGGGGTCATGAAAAGGTATGAAATTGGCAGTGAAAAAAAAAAAAAAAGAGCTGCAAAAACAGAAAAGGGCAGAAAGCAGTCATGTCCTGAAGCATGGGGGAAGGAGATTTCTGCGGTGGAGCGTGGCAGGTCCCCCCCATACCTATGACTGGCTAAGGGGCCCCTGTAGTCTCACCCCTTCTTGGAGACTGACCGTCTGTCAATCTCTGTGGAGGGACAGGACTTCCAGGGCCCCTGGGCCAATCAGAGGCATGAGGGCCCTGCCATGTGGGCCCTGCCCACTCTGATGCAAAAATATCACCCAGCACCATGCTCGAATTGTGAAATCAGGGGGTAGCCACCCCAAATTTGGTAGGTCCCTAAATATAAGAGACCAGTAATCTCCTTACTGTTTCATATTTCACGTGCACAGCCAAAGCTTTCAGCTTGTCCTCTGCATTACTAAGAACAAAACAAAAGAACCGCCCCCCAAATCCCTCATTGAGGAGCCTTAGAGCAGCTTCCTTAGAAGCACGTGGAAATGTCAGCAACATTACCCCCACTTTACAGGGAAGTATGTTGAGAAACATTGTGCTGAAATGCTGTCCAAGGGTCACATAAGAGATGGCAGGACCAGAAGCCAAATCCAAAGCTCCCAATTAATCAAATATAGTAAATGGGGAAGGAGGCAAGGTAAAAGGATACCAAGACTTCAGAGCAACTTGATCATCTTTTGTGGCATCATCTCGATGAGTACCAACAGTGGTGTGCTAGACTTAAACTCCTGATGGACTTCTAGCCGGGCCTATAGCCACAACCCACAACGGCAGGTTTCAATAAGTCCTGATACAGGCTACAAAATCCTGCCTTTCGGGGACAATGCATGCAGAAAGCCAGGCACAGTATGCTAACGTTTTCTAGGGGAAACAAAAGGCATCAGAACCTATCGTGTATCCGTATCATGCCAGAGATAGCAGTAAGCGAGTCACCTGCTTTTTGGAGCAAATTTAACTGGACAGTCAAAGCTTTGAAGGCTCGTTAATAGCTATTCCAATCTAACAATATCAAAGAAATCCTTTAATGTTGAATCAAGTCAACTAGTAGCACTGGGAAATCTCTCTGAACAAAATCTGGGAGAGGTGTAGCATTTCACATCTCTTCTTATGGACATATGGATTTACTTGTTGTTTTAGGCTTCTTTCATGGAAAACATCTTTTTTGCAAAGAGCACTGTACAAAAGATGCCAACTTCAATAAAGGGTGAAAGCTAAGGGCCTCAGAGGTTAGCTTCCCAGTATAAGGTGCACTAGACAGTGCAAGAGATGGGAGTAAAAGCTGCTTTAAATCAAGCAAATCACAAATATACAGCTCAAAACAATAGCAGTGATCAGTCATTAAGGGGCTGATTTTTTAAAATCATAAGCTATGTTGGTAAACGTTACATTTACCAGGCATAAGAGCATTAAAGCTGATTATCCAAAATAAAGATAATATTCACTGCTTTGTGCCAAGTTAATCCTGTGATCAGCCAATGCATTTTATTATCTAGGAAGATTATGCGTACAAGGAGATGTGTAAGGGGCAGAAAGGGAATGATTTTTCTCAAGTATTCTGTACAGTGTCAAATATACCCAGACACTAATATCTACACAAACTAATCATCACCATTGTGGTCACGTGAGCCAGGTTTGCACAAAGCTGCAAGTTTCCTCAACTCCTGCACTGCCCCAGCTTATTTATATGCTTTATTCTGGAACTAAGTTTGTGACTGAGATGGAACAAGTCACATTACCAGTTTATGAGATTATTTAAAACACATTTTTAATAAGATGCATGTTATAGAGCAGGGATTCCTGAAGCACGGCTCATGAGCAACTTGTGGCCCATGATGCATTTCTATGCAGCCTACAAAGGGACTTTTTATGGGCGGCTATTCTTGGCAGAGCCAGCCAATTGGTGAGGCTGTAGCCCTCGACTGCTTGGCAGTACCTGACCTTTGCAGCAGACCTACGATTCTCCTTACTGGAACTGGTATACACGAGACACGTTATAGCTGATGAACACTGCTAATTCGTTTTGTGATGTGGCCACCTGTACCTTGTCCCGCCCATCAACAGGCCCCCCCCCCGAACAAAACTTTGGGGACCCTTGCTACAGAGTCATAAGAGGTCTCTAAGGGTGGGAAACTGCTAAAGGTAGGGGGAGACATGAGTGTTTTTGCTACCTAGCTTGCTGATCAAAGATTAAACTGAACTGGATGGCTACAGTTTTCAAGGAGTGCTTGTGATGCACCTTTAAGTGATTCCAGGGTCCCTATAATGTAGTTTTTCTCTTCAACATCTGTATAAATCTGAATAAAATAGAAAGGTTCAGGGTTCATGAGGTTACTTGCTGATGCAAAGCTAGGAAGGCTTTGAACATCCATGTGATTAATATCGTTACTCCATGCAGCAATGTGGTAAAATGGGTCATTTTTCTGATTGCCATTATTATTTATACATTTCTAAAGATGCTTTTCATTTTAGCTCGAATACCGAGTGATGGCAGCATAGGCAAATAGACTGATGGGCTCCGACATGCTTTGATCTTAGCCAAAAGGCCAAACTCTACTTATACGGAAGAAGAACAGTATTATTAGGGCTTATCTCCATTTTATGGATACAGTAAATGGGACAGAGAGACCACGAGAGTGCACAGTATGGAACAGAAGTCCCTGGCATGGTCCCACAGTACTGGGCACAGGCTGGCTCCAAACAAACATATACCCAAAGGCCCCTGACACTTGAGAGGTGCTGAAGGTGCCAGAGGTCCAAACTCAGGGCACAAAATAAAACTGGATTCTGATGAAATTCATATTAAAATAGAATTCACTGAGTCATCATCCAGTGGTCTAAGACCTCCAAAAGGTCAGAAGGGAATTTAAAGGTTCCCTATCGATCTGGATGTGGATTCTTATTCATATGTATATATAAATCCTTAAGCTGATTTTGTTTGTGTAGCCCTAGCTCTTCCACTCTGTTCCCGCCCTAGTTAAGTTATAAGATGCTCCACTACCATAATATAACAATGTCTCCTATGGTTAACCACCCCCCCAAAACCCGAGACAGAAGTAATATCTTTTTTCCTCTTCCTTTCCTGGAGAGAGAAATATGAATACATGCCTCCTCCACAAACTAGAAGGCTCTGGGACCCCGTAGGAAGGTCAAAGGGAGGTCTCAATGTTCGTAACAAACACTGCTTATTAAAAATTGCTGACTGCTGCATTAATGCCACCAACTGCATATAATTTTAGTTCAAGCTTCGTAAAACTTTAAGGCTCAAATGCCAGGCTAAAATTCCAGGCAGTTATGGAGAGATATGTTTAAACACTAGTATGCATTCTTTACTGAAAATTGAGAAATAGATTTCAGTAAAGTCTGACAACTGGTTCCCCACTGAACTATCAGGAAAATTACAGATGTTTGGAGGACTTCTTTGCAAAGTGAGCTGTTTCCAGGTACATCTGGGCCAGTTTTGGTCCTGCTGCCTGATGTACCCACTATCTTTGAATGGAAGAGTGAGCATAGCCTCGAGACAAAGTGGTACATCATCACTGGATCAGTGCAAGCAGCTCATTTCAGCCCCAGGCATCTTCAAATCCACAAAGGAAACTTCCAACATTCACTTGCACCTTCCCAAATTGGGCAGGAACTATTCTTTCTCAAGTCTCATGTTTTTCCTACACATGGGCACTGCTTTTTTCATTGTAAGCTAAAGTAAGGATGCTCTCAGGGATATCACCACTTGCAATCCTTAAAACAACAGCGCACATCTTTTTCCACTACCTCAAGATCTACTAGTAAGATACAGGTGACGGACTAAGCAGGAGGGCATGGGGAGTAGAGGTAACTGCTATATAGCCTGAAAAGGCTGCAGTCAAGGGGAGACATTTTTTCTTAATGTTCTGGGGACTCAGGCTATCACCACAAAGCTCTACCAACATGATGCAGCTTACGCTCAACACTTCCAGATGGTGGAACATGAGTCAGGAGCGAGTCAAACTGTCCCACGTAACTGGGGTCTGCCTGCTGCTGCAAGCTCAGGAGTTTTGTCTGAACATACTTTGAAGGGACCCATTTCCATGCCGAGAAGGAACACAGGGCTGAAAAGGGCCTCCTGGGCTGTCAAATCTCATCCCCCACATTTGCAGGCAATCGTTTACCCAAAGATTCCTAAAAACCTTAGCTTCAAATGCCCACGCGCTACAGCTATAGCGCACAAAACCAGGAGCACTGAAAACTCCCAAATCCATGCCATAGGCAAGGGGCAGGGGAAACAAAGACAACGGGAGAGAAATAGTTGGATAATATGTGCAGAAGGTCTTAGACGGAGGACTCTGACCCATGTTTCAAAGGAAAGCCCCTTTCCGCCAAACTCCTTTGTTATTGTGATCTGGGGAGACCTGGCTGAACACAGTCCAACTCAGCAAAAAAGAGTCTCGTGGTTAAGGTACTGGACCTGAACTGGATTTGTTCCCCAGCTCCTCCCTACACTCCCCAGATGGGTGCCAGCAGATCAACCATGCCACGCCTCAGTTTCTTGTCATCTTTCCCACCACTCTTCTGTCCATCCTGCAGACTGGAAAGTCTTTGGGGTAGGGCCTATTTGCTG